ACTACCACCTGGATTCGCACTAGGCCATGCCTAGGCTTTGCAGCAGGGCCTTTGCCCTCGACAGGCTGTCTGAGTGGGAACTTGCCTGTTGACGGTCCGAAGTGGTGGCGAACCCCCATGGGTAAAGCGAGACGGAGGAGCCACGGCAGGGGCTTGCAGCGGTATTGACGTGGAAGTCGGCTGTTAGGCTTCGGTATAGGGGCGGAATTCTAATCGAACCGTCTACTGAGCAGCTCCGCTGCTCGGCTGACCGAGCACTTCGGGTAGGAGGGACAGGAGAGGGAGCACAGCAGGACTAACGCATGCATCGTTCGTCGGACTTCGGGTATAAGCCCGAAAGGCAAGTCGAACCAGCTAATAGCTGGTTCCTTCGAAGTTCCCTCATAGCGAAGCTGCCGTCAGTCCGCTGCGTCGTGTCCGCGGATGAGTAACCCGGACGGGTTAGCTCGTCGGGTGCATTCGGCGTAGGGAGATAGCGGAGAAGGAAGCGGGCGCTGAAGCGGAGCAACGAGGTAGAGAGTGGAGTGGGCAGAGGGGTGATGGGGACTGTCGACCGGGTAGGATCGGGCCGCAGTAGCTGTTGGGGGCTGCGCTAACTACAGCGGGCGAGGCGAGGCGGTCGAACCACAGGTGCAAACAGAGGGAAGAACAAGACAAGTGGATCCGGGCGAGAAAGTGCACCAGATACGTGCAGGGGAGGACGGAGGTGACGAGAGCGGTTGACTGCGCTGAGGGGAAGGAGGCGCAAAGAGCTAGGAGGGGAGGAGCAGCAGCGCGCGGGTGATAGAGAGGCTGGCAAAAGGAGGGCTTGAGAGCACGAGAAGGGGGAATGAACCTGGGCACATTTTCGCGCCGGGTTCATTCGGAAGAAATGGCGACGGTAAGTGAAGAGCTGGGCGCGGTCAAGAAAGTGTGATATGCTCGATTCGTAATAGAATCGAGTGAGAGAAGAGCTGAGATCGGGAGTTATTGAACAAGGCGAGAGCGAGAGAAGAGCTGAGATCGGGAGTTATTGATAAGGTGAATCTATTGGGAATGTTAGATTAGTGATAGAGTTGGAAGAAAGAAGGTCAGTCAGAGAACTCACTGCGCCGGAGTTATGGCGGGAGTGATGAAGGCAAAGAGTGGGGAGAAAAGGATCCGGTACTCGACCGTTTCTTGGCCAATCTCGATGAACTAGGATGCAAAGTAGGGGCTTTCGGGGCGGGAGACCTCGAATATGCTATCTGATTAGGAGAAGAGTTAGTGGTATGGCAGTTAGAGGAGGAATGGGCTGCGCAGTGAGTGTCGGGAAGGAAGTCGAGCGATGAGTGGAGTTGTAATAACTCACTCATTTTTCAATCGATTTTGATAAACTAAAATACTAGATTAAGATTTTAGGTCGGGCGAGTCAGAAGGTGCCGTTAGTTTGAGTATTCTCCAGCGGCGAGCCTGATCTCATCATCAGCGGGAGTGCTTCTCATTATCAGCGGAGTACTTCCCATCATCTGCGGAGCGCGGTCTCACACCAATAAGCCATTTCTACTATCCTTTTCCTCTTGTGTACAGCACACGGTCATCGCAGGGGAAACGAGCCATGTGTTGTATTCGAGGGAAAACTACAGGGGAACTAATTGATGAGAAAATAGTCTTCCCCTCGCTCTCTCTTATATATTCCTTTTTGGAAATAAGTAAATAAATAACAAAACAGCGGCCTGCTCTTCACTCTCCCGCTTCTCATTCTCTCCTACTTCCTCTTGATCTCTCTTTCTCTCCCATGAACACGTACTACCTCTCTCTTACTCTCTTTTCAGTCCGCTCTCTCTCTCTCTCTCTCCCTCTCAGTCCGCTGTCCACTCTCTCTCTCTCTCTCACTCAGTCCGCTGTCCACTCTCTCTCTCTCTCACGCAGTCCGCTCTCTATGTCTCTCTCAGTCCGCTGTCCACTTCCTCTCTCTCTCACTCAGTCCGCTCTCTCTCTCTCTCGCAGTCCACTCTCTCTCTCTCTCTCTGTCCTCTCTCTCTCTCTCTCTCTCTCTCTCTCTCTCTCTTTCTCTCTCTCTCTCTCTCTCTCTCTCTCTCTCTCTCTCTCTCTCTCTCTCTCTCTCA